AATCTGTAATTAGTTATTTAATTTTAGTTATATAATTCATATACATATCATTTATATCATTTAGTTATATAATTTCATATACATAATTTGATTTAATAATAACCCAATTTGAAGCAAAAACAGAATGTTCTGACTATCTTTGTGAAATTATACTACATGCCTGAACGAATCAAACAGCAGAAGCTCTGAATGAGATGCAGATTCACTCTCTGACAGCAGGAGGCGCTGAAACATCTAAACTTTTCTGAAGACCGTTAGTTCCCCTCAGAAACACATTCATATAAACCCCCAAATCGATATTTAGGATTTTCTTCCAATAGTTCGTACATCATGAACAGTGAGTGATCTGCCTGCTACAGTATTTTTCTCTGTGCGTCCGTCTTCAACGTCTCTGGCCTGTGTTAACCGGAAAATGTTAGTGGTTTTGAAACCGTGAAATTTTCAAACCGCGATATACCTTGATACCAGTAATCGGCCCATGCCTAGTGGGGACCCTGAATATTTCCATCTACATGTTTGGACACTAGGGATGGGCGATATCTTATCGTTTACGATATACCGGTAAAAATTCTCCCCATGATAACAATTGGTCTTCCTGCGATAATAACGATGTACTACAGTATGTACTACAGTAGCACATGTGCGATACAGTTTTGCATGTGTATGATGTGCGAGGTTTCAGTGCAGACGTTGGGAATCGCACCTCCATCAGGATGAGTTATCCTGAGGGCTCCCCGAAGGTCTGGGAAGACACCGATTCGGATCTCAGATTTGTAGCTGTGATCTATAAGTCTGTCGACTTCCACTGGCTTCGTGCAATGATTACCAAGACGTCCGTTGTGAGTGCTTGTTCACGCATCAGGCAGATTGGTTGTCTTGATCAGAGCAGTATGTCTGAAGGTCACGTTTAACGCTCTCCTTTCAGTCGCTGTGGAACTGGCTGTTTTTCTGGCAGAATGTGCCGGTGAGTGTCCCGCTTAAGGCCTCTCAGTTTCGTCTGCTGAATCCAGAGATTATTAGAGAGACGGCCTTGGATCTGCTTCACTATCCCAATGTTAGAGAACGGCTGTGGGGCTGGGACCAGGTGAGCTGCTTGTCATTGCTTTTATAGGGGGATTTTTTTTTCTTTATTAGGGCTGTTGATTTAACTTGGTGCGATTTATGTAAAAAAGCGCCCTGTCCCGTCATCTTGCAGTTGCTGAAGAACATGATGCAGGACTGACTGCGTGATGGAGTCTATTAGAATGCAGTTATGTGAGCCTAAATGTTAAGATATGAAGGCAAAAAATGCCTCTCTTATATGATAGTTTTCCCCCAGTATCTACAGCATTGCAAATGTGATATTGTTTTTATACAACAGTTTAATAAACACGTTTAATTTTGTGGTCGGCCAATATATCGGCATGGGCTGATCATTTTTTCTGTTTGGCCGATGTGTTGGAAGCGGGACTTTTATTTTAATGGAGCTGAGAACGGCGGCGCCTGAGCACACAGCGCTCCCATTCTGCTTCTTCATTAGTTATGGTCTCTGTTTAACAGTTTTGTCTAATACGTTCCTAGAGAGAACTGTTAAACAAAGAAACTAAACTGTTTACGAAAAAGTATTACAGCGTTTGCTTTTATATTATTAGTAACAGAAAGTCAAACACTATAATAATTTCTCATTTGACGTCAGCATTCAGCAAACACGCATTTATATCATTTAAACAAATTTTTAAATATCTAATAAACATTTAATTTCACAAACCTTGCAGACTTGCAGATCAGCTGTCAGATATTCTGAAGTGTGCATTTGTAGCCAGCATGAACGTGTTCTGCACGTGACGGAGAGTTTAGATGTCACTGGAGATGCACGATCAACAAACATTAAACCCTTGATTTCAAATTATGCTGTACTATATTCAGTTGCCCACCGTCATATTCACTGTGTGCTGCATGTAAAACTAGTATTACGTTGTCTTTATTAGATAAAACATGATCCCCAGTGTGCACAAATTTACCAGATTATGGAGCGCCAGCTTGGTTACAGTGTTACTTCCTTTTTTTATTCATGTTTCAAACAATTTCTCTATTTGTGAAAAATACTGTAATATGATTACAGAATCAAGGAGTTGCCATCTAATGTAAAATGGTTTAATTTAAAGATTAATTTTTTTTATTAATTTTCAAATTATTTCTAATTTATTAAAATAAATATATTGGGATGTATATATATATATATATATATATATATATATATATA